AAGTAATTTTTTAACTTAACTTTAACTTTCTAACTAGTTAGTGCCCACCTTTGGTTAAGTCTTATACTGTAAGTATTGTGATCAGGGCCGCATTCAGTGCAGGGCAAGTCCTCTGCTCTACTCATGAGTCATGAGTCATGACTAACACATCACGTAAAAACACAGAGATACAAAATAAATAATGTTATTGATTTCAAATATATACCTAAAAATAAATAAAAAAATTATAAATATATAATATAAATAATACATAGATTTCGGAGATTCTAGATCATCATATGAAAAACATTTAACGGATATTTCATTTTAATTGTTATTTATGCATTTTCATGGAAGGCATGGAAACAAAATTACTTATAAAATAAACGGTCCAAAATGATTTTTAAAACGAATTTAATTTAAATTTACATTAATGCATTTAATAAATTAGAAAAATAAATGTTTAGTGACAACTAAAGGTCCCCACACACTGCCGCGGTAGCGGTGGCGTTAAATTTGTACACATGTATTGTAATGGGATTCCGCACACTGCTGCGGTAAAATATCGCCGCTGTAATATTTTAAAAACCACAGCATGCTCGATTTCACCGCCATCACTCAGCGGTATTTTCAATTGACTTATCAAATATACGCTAATAGTACCTATACTATCTAATATATATGGTGTATATTAGTCTAGACTTCGATTATTTCCTAGAAACTATTCAAGTTATAGTTTAATATAATATTTAAATTAATTAAAAATAATTCATATAAAAATAATCAATACAATATTATATATTTATATGTATAATGAATATGATATGTACAATAGTATAAATGCTTAATATAGTACATACTAGAGCTCTTAAAACACGTGTCACGGAATTCACGTGTACACGTGAAATACGTGTTTATCCAAATATATATCCGTTTTTACAATGATGAATATTAGTAATTTTATGTTATGCACTTGAAGTTTTAATGAAATATTGATAGTACAGTATTAAATTAAGGTTATACGTTTTTATTTTGAATTTTACACGTGACACGTGAATTCCGTGAATTCATGTGTATTAAGAGCTCTAGTACATACTAACGTACTATATAGATAAATCGTCAATTTATCAATGACATAGGAATTAATTAATTAACTATACAATTATTGTATGTAATTTCTTTGATTATAAATATTTATAATCAATGGTAATATATAAATATATTATGTTCATACTGGATAAAAATCGCCACCGCCGCAATGTGTTCAGGTCTGCGATTTTAATATCGCCACCGCGGCAGTGTGTGGGGACCTTAAAGAAAGTAGTATAGACAACAGTTACACTATATGCGCACAATGGGTTACCCTTTCTGAATACTACTACCAAAAGCATTTCGTTACCTAAAAAACTTTATTCACAACCGAAAAATGTTCATATTCACACTATAGTTCAATATTAGTGTTATTATTATTATTATTATAGTGTTGCAAGCAAAGGCGGATTTTCCATTAGGCACTGTAGGCATCTGCCTAGGGCGGCAAAGTTTAGGGGCGGCTAATTCTGTAATGTTTTATTAGAAAACATTAAACGTATGCCAAAAAAATTGGAAAATTATTTACTTTATATTTACGAAAAATAATTGTATAATAATGGGTGCATTTTGTTAATATGTTATCGTCAGAATTTTGGGGAAAAATAAATATTCCCACTGCCACACTATACTACTAATTCGAATGTATGTTAATAATCCTATGCTGTTATTATGAAAATCTGTTTTTATTAAAATTTGAGGAACATCCAATGGCATTTTTTTTAAAGTAGACTAATTAATTAAAGCGAAAAAAATAGTCTAAAAATTCAAAGGAATGTTCATACATTTGTACATTTAATATTTAGATTAGGTGTTTCGGAAGGGGTAATATAACTTCTTCGCCTATATAGGGGCGGAAAATTGTTGGTGCCTATAGTCGTAAAAAAGATAAATCCACCTCTGGTTGCAAGATTAAAGTGATCATGTGATAGGAACTCTCCCCTCGATATTATGGTATGTATGGCAGTGGTGTAGCTAATATTTTTCAACGGGGGGAGGGGGGGGGGGGGGTTAAGGTTTATACAATAAGTACACATAAACATATTTTTAATTTTGTTATACTTTATTTAAAATGTTTAAGGATATCATCAGAGATCATTACATCATATCACTGTCAGGGCCGGATTAAGGGTCCTTTGAACTACTAGGCTTCAGGCTCGATAAACTCTTAATCCGGTCCTGATCACTGTGTATATTCATCACTGCCAAACCATTCAGTCTACTTTCACACTTGGTGTTTTTTTTAATGTTGAAAAATATCGTTCACTGCTAACAGTTGTGTTCTTGAGTTTCTGTTAATTTTTGCTGCCATATTTTAATCTCACTCATAGCTGTTAACACACTGCAATCTAAATTATCTTGACACATTTCAACCAGGGATGTAGTGGATCGTATCCCTTATAGACCGAGAATATTTTTTTAAATTATTTTTTCAATTTTCTTGCGAAAATTCAGAATTTAAATTTTGATCGTGTATTTACAACATCAAAAATAAATATTACGTAATAGATATTCCTAGAAATGTTTTGGAAAATATATGATAAATAAAACAAAATAACAAATTGATTGGTATCGTAAATATATACTGAGAAAAGTACTCGAACACTGGATATTATAAGCTGAAAAAATTCTAAAATATATCATGGAGTATGGCTGTTTTGCCCGATTTCTTTTTTTCAGTAGATTTAATGTTACCTTCACAATCGTGCGATACCAGTTTGAACTTGAGGTTGTGATTGCATGTGTTTTGAATTACACGGGTACTCGTATTTTTACCAAGACGGGGTTGAGTCCTGTGTAATAAAAATATCCGTATGTACCCATGGTAATTTATAAATCATATTGGAATAAATTAAATTTAGTGCCTACGCCGTTTTTCCATATTTGTACGTACGTATCTAGTTTTTGATAAAAATAATTTTAGGGTATATATTATATAATAAAAAAAAGTATATTTTCATGTAAATAATTTAACAAAAACTAAAACCAATAAAGAACATTTAAATAATATACATGTTTAATATTTTATTTTTCACCTTAGTATTTAAAGGATCTACGGGGTAAGCAGGTAATTACTCTTCCCGATTAGCAAATTGCAGCTATACTACAGAATTTTTTTTTTTGATGTACAATGTCATAGTATTTTTCAAATACTTTGGCGCCACTGTTATATATTATGATAAAAAAATTCAACAATTTTTTTTATTAAAATTTATGAAATTAGATCTTTATAAAATATGCAGTCATTTTTTGACTTTTTATGTGATTTACATACTAATTAAAAAAACAAGTAGAATAACTTTTTTTAAACTGAGTTAAGTTAATATTTTTTTCCTTATTAATTTTTAATTAATCAATCTTGTGTTCTCTTAACTTATCTTGAGTTCATTATTTTCATTAACTTGCTCCCTTTGTCTATTATATATAAACATAGATATAGTATTAACTTACAAATAAACAGAACTATATGCAAAAACAATTTGTTTACTTGGTTGATACATCCAATGATACAATGATTCATTCTATGATTTGGTATATTAAAACCGAACCGACGTATGACAGTAAAAAAAAAAAAAAGGAATGTTAACCTTAAGAATAAATTTACTTATTAATTCACAAAAAGCTTAAAACTATACTCAAAATTACAATAAAATTTCAAATATCTGTCAATATGCATTTAGTCTAAAAAGACGACAAAATATGCAAAATCAGGCAATTAAAATGAATGTATATAATGTATATTATAAAAAATAAAATAATAATATATAATAATAAAAATAATATATATATATAATATATTATAATTATAATAATATTTATAATAATTAATATGTATAATATATGTCCATTACCTAAGTCTTGAAAAAAAATTAATATTTTACTCAGATTATTCTAAAGTTATTATTAAAGAATATGCAATTGCAATAACTCTGGAATCCTAGTAATAAATAATAAGAAAAAGTTGGTTATAGAAAAATGCAATATTATTTTATAGGGTACAATTATGAAGAGTTTATTCCAACTGAAGCAGGATTAAAAATTAATGCACCAAAGTATTTGAATTAATATAATAAATATTGTATTAATAATCATTATATAATAATAACTAATAATTATTAACTCTGGAATATTTTGTTAACTGAAAATGTAAAATAGCAGATGAATGTAGTTTAATATGGCTTTGGTTTTATGAGATAGTATTATTAAATATGTAATTGTATATATAATACTTAGTATTTTTTTTTAAGGAATTGATTCTTGAGAAATTTGATGAAGATCTCATGGTTCATAGGAATATATATTTAAGATGAAAAATACCTGGGATCATGGGCGTTGCAAGAGGGGTACATAAGGGTGCATTTGTACCTCCATGAATTTAAAAAAGAGAATAACATTTAAAAATGTAGGATAGAGGCTTTTATTATCATTATTGGATTTTCTAGTATTACTTTATAGACATCAAAAAAACGAAAATAATTTTGTATTATCATACAATTTGAAAAAAATATTTCTATATATTTAACTTAAATAATTTAAACATTATTTAGAAATCAGAATATATACTATGTATGATGCACCATCCTGATGGCGTTTATACCTAGGATGGATTAAGAATTATAATTTATGAGCAACATTTATAACAAAATTTATGAGACAGTTGTCATTGTATAAATTGATTTCAGTTGTACTATACAACTGTAGGTTGAATAAGTTATTTAAATACCAACTAAATTAACAAAATAATTTTAAATTAAGTATACATAAATAGTTTATTACTTTATAAATAAAAATGACAAAACTATTTTCTTAAAAACTAATTCAAATCTAGGTAATTGTTTCAATACATTTTTTTTTGGGAAAGTTTAAAAGATAAGATCAACATTAAATGTATATCTTACATCAAAATAAAGAATTAATGGTTCCTAAAAAAAAAAAGTTATAAAAATTATGTACACATATTTTCATCACAGAATTTTTTCTAATGTATTATATTTAATTATAATGTTGATTTCTGGTATAGAACATTTTTCACCACTCAATACAGTATTGAGAGCCTACAATTAATTTTATATTTCCAACAGAACTCACTAAGTAACACATTTATTTAAAATACAGTTGTACCATCATCAGTCTCTACTTTCGAATAACTAGCTGTGTTTGGACGCCTTCGGTGATTAGTATTTCGCCGACCTTCAATTAAAAGAGCAATAATCTGTAAATAAGATAATTTTTCATAAGAAATATTGGAAGAAGATTTAATGTGTTTAATTTAAATATATTTATTTAAAAAATGATAAATAATTTATATTTTTTTAAAATTATTTATTAGTCATAAAAAATTAATACATTTAAATCAAAAAAATACACTTTTAAAAGTTATTATCTTACTTTTTTTTTATTGTATAACGCTAAATAAAAGAGCAACGAAAATACAGTCATAATGCCAAAATAGAAAAGAAAATGTGAATCTTCTACATCATCAAAATCATGGTTAGTAAAAGTATTTTTTTGATTAAACCTTGATTGAGTTTCTTTCTTGGCTTCTGAAAAAATACATTATTTTCATATTAATTAACTTAAAATATATACTAGAAATAAGTTAGAACTTAAGTAACTATAAGATTTTATTTATTACTTATTGTTTTGCTAATTAAACATTAAAGACTTATGACTTTTTAACTTTTATAATTTTTAAATTTGAATAAAAGATTAATAAATGTTGTTTACCTGAATCAACTAAGGTAACATCCTCAGGGTTAGCATAATCATTATTAGATTCTGAAAATATAAATCATGAATTAGTGATTTAATATTTATACAAATATAAATCACTTACTTGAATTATCTTTAAGTTTGCTAGGGTTAAGTACACCTCCATCTATTGGTTTATTTTGAATCTCTTCACCGATAATATCTTCTTCTTTATTATTATTTTTTTCTGCAAGTTCATCATCATTATTGATATTATTCAATTGTGATGTATCATCTGAGACTGGCTAAAAAATATTTTAACAATTATTAATATGTACATTCTATAAAGTTAATAAAGTACATACTATTTTATTGGTCAGAAATCTATAAACATAAATCAATCTTAATAATGTATCAACATATTTTACATACACACACACACACACACTTATTAATACTGCTCCTAAACCATGATTAAATAATTTTTCTAATACTTACATATAATTTAAAAGTAGCTATGGAAATGAGGTTTTAAATTATTATAAATTAAATGCAAACTGTATAATTATTTAAGTTAAAATAATAAGGTATAATAAAACACTTTTTAATATAAACTATTAAATATTAATAAAATTTGAATTCATATTTAAAATTTGCAATATTTTCAGATTTATAAAATAGAGTCAAAACTTTTAAACATATTTAAGATACTACAGATATATAAAAAAAGATGATGCAATTAAGGAAATTATGATTTACTTTGGCATTCAAGTATTCTATTTTTATTTAATAAATATAATTATTAACATGGTTTAGTTATACTGTTAATATATTTATATTGATTGATGATTTATAATATTTTATCGAATTTCAGCATAGATTTTTTTAAAACAAATAAGCAATTTTATGTTTTATTAATATTGATTATTATAGTTTGATAATATTATGAAAAATTATAAGATTTGTAGAAACAAAATAAAATAATAACTAAAACATAGCTTTGGTTTTTTATATTAATACCTCTTTACTTATCATATAAATATCAAGATAATTTTGAACATAAATTAACTATAGTCAATGATAGATAAAAAAAAAAAACAAAACAAATTTCTAAAAAAATCATCAAAAATAATATTTTAAAAACCAAATTTCCCTAATTTTAAGATTAATTTATACAAATAAGCTAATACCTCATTAGATGTTGTGATTTTTGAGAATATTTCAAAAACTATTATTTTCAATAAACCTTTTTATGTTTGATATACTTACATCCATTTCGTTACCATCAATTCCGACAGTCTCTATGGTTTTAACACTAGAAATCTTTTCAATAACATTTTTCAGAATATTATCAACATTATTTTCTTTAGCTGCTATAAAATAATTAAATTTATATAAAACTGTAATTCTAATTAAATAATAGTTATTAAGTAAGTGTACTTACGTTCTTTAGGTTTTGGCAAAATATTATGCCATAACATGATTTCAAAATTTAAAAATTTACAATATCTTGTAACTTCATTGTCGTTTTCGATAGAATGACAAATATTTCTCCACTTTTCTTCATCCTTCAATGGCTCCATAAATAATTTTAATGATGAAGACTTAATGGATACATTTTTCCAAACTTCGTACAATGCCAAGTTATTTGATTGGTAACTACTAATATTGATTTTAGCTGTTTCAGATACATTTTCAAGAATGGTATTTAGTTCTTGGGTCATATTGTAAATAATTGTGCATAGACATGGAGTAATGTTATTGTCATTTTCAAACTTTTTGTACTCATAAATGCTCAATATTGGCATATTGCATCGCTGGTCGAGTTCAAGTTTTTTGAAATAATCTACAAAACCTAAACTATTGTTACTGACAATCATAAGGTCACTAACAGTCATCTTTTTTGCATTTGACACAGGCACCGTTCCCGATTTTACGTTTAGCACGGCAAAGAGCATACCGGCTAGAATCACTAAAAGTCTATCGATTGTATACATGTTTGTCATAGTTGGGATGTGTGTGATCTTACATTATTGAACATCATTTACCTACTGTTTACAATATTAAAAGTCTATACGACTTTTTGATGGATTAAAATCATCTGGTCTAATGGTCAACAGCATGTATGGTTCAATAGGACAATCTCATGGATCGAACGTCACTCGTACAATATTCATAAAATTCTGAACTCAGGAGCAAATTTTCATAACTTTAAAATTGAACGTTTGAGGACTTTAAAAATATCAGATGTTTTTGTCGAATTTTTCATATAAACACAGTTGATCGATTTAATTTTTCAATACAAACGACGTGTCGCGCTCATCGGTCCAATTTTATATTGTAATTTATTAAAAAAAAAACTGCATCAGAAATTTGTACAAAAAACAAACTTGAATTTTACGCTTGAAGTTGGTAGCCGGTAACCAATAATATGTGATGACTGATGATAATTCAGATAATTCGTTTTCGTTTTTATGTTCCTTCTAGTAAATATAACCTCAAATTTCTATCGCGAACTGAACGAACATAAAACAAAAATCTATCATATCACAGTATAAACATAGTTATTGATAGACTGTTTCATAGTTATGCTTATGTTCATAATAAATATATTTTAACTAATTCATTTTACTTTTTGACTGTGCATGTATCATAAAATTGCAGTTGAGTATATTATTGTTAGTGTTTTACCTGAGTGATTATTATTTTTTCTTCATAACCGTTAACTTGAAAAATGGTAAAACGTAAAAGTGAAGTAGCTTTGGCTGATGGCGAACAGAATAAAGCAATACGAGAAAAATACATAAAAACTGACAAGGTAAGTTTGTTATTTGAGCTTATTTATATATTTTGTATAAATAAATTATAATTTATGTATCTAGGTTTATTATTATTAAGATTCATAGCAAAATAAAGTTTTAATTGGCTGTAAATTTAATCAAATTTTTGTATTCATATTGAAATATAAGTTATTATAAATATTTATTTTATAACTTTTAAATTATATTATTAGTATATACATTTATAGTACAACCTCAAACAATGCATCTTATTCATGTACCATTATTTGAAGTAAAAATAGAAAATTTATCAAATATTTAAAAAGGGTATTACGTATCCCTTAATGATTATCCATAGATGACTATTCCAATCTTTTAAGTATTAGTTTTTTCAGTATAAAATACAAAAACAGATATTCCTTAATTGATCATTGGTTTATTTATATATATATATATATTAATCATGATAATATTTTTAATATACTTTAAATTATGGGCGTAACTTGGAAATTTATTAGGGGGGCAAATATATCATTACATATCTAAAGAGAAAAGGGTATCCGCGGCCAGGGTTGGACTAGCTCTATAGCTCGGCCCGGACTAAATAATTTCGAACGGCCTCAATGGAATTTTATCAGTAAGTAGGTATCTAATCAAATTATTGTTTAACTGAAAATGTATCTTCGTAATTCAAAAAACAATATACACACAAGCACATTTGAATATTTTCAGATTTAATGTTATACCTTAAATAAATCTAGTTTACGCATAATATATCTTATCTATAATATTGATATAATGACCTACCTATTAAGATAAATTTTACACCATAAAAAATTATTTTATTTAAATATGTTTATATATTTAATTTTAATTGAGTTAGAACAGTGGGGTCAGCAACTATTGTCTCTTTTATGTGGCCTGCAGTAAATTTCAAAACTAGTAATTTTCATTGAATATCATATAAATTTTTTATACTGTCTGACCCTAGAACCATTTTTAATTTGTGAATGTGGCCCATAGGTCTATTAAGGTTGCCTACCACTGAGTTAGAATATATTGTTTTTTAATAAAATAATTGCTTACCGGTAAAAATTGACTTGAAGTCAACAGAGAGGTTGGAAACTAGTAACATACTTGTTATTGACTGAATGTCAAAGCTATTAAAATATTTTTAAATAAAAGTCTAATAAATCTTATAAAAATTATTATTATTGAAAAAACAATTTCCTTATCGCATAACTTGCGCGACCGTGTCTACCCATACTAACATTTTCTTTTGGTTAAATGTTAGAACAAACGCAAACAGTACGTTGTATCAGTCCCTATTTTTCATAAAAATTCGTACTACACATTTTTTAATATACAATGATATGATACAAAGCTTCTCTCTACCCCCTTCCATATGATTATAATTTTTAGTACAATGTCAGTAATAATTTTTAGTAATAGTTCTTTTTTCGAATTGCACATTATAATTAGTTAAACTAAAAACCAATCTGATATTATTTTTTTTTAAACTGAAAATATACTTTTGTCTGGTATAAATCTGAAAACTGTTTACAAATTATTTATTTTAATGTGGGGTATATAACTTTAAATATAATAGATATATTTTAGTCCTTATAAGCTATTTTGCTTGAATTGATTTCCCGAAAAACACCTTCATAGTAGTCTAATTTATTAGTATTTAGTAGGTACACACTTCTTGAATCCTGTAGTGTACACTTGCAGTTTTGGACTGCACACTTTGTGTCGGGGTTCACTAAAAAATAGGGATTGCGTCGTATGATTAACATATTGTATACATTTTTTGTATTCGAATTTCCTACAATTTTTCTATTTATAAATATTGTGATGAAATTATTGTTATCAATCGTCCTATCGCGACATTAAATATGTTCAATTTTCAAATTTCGAGTTATCCTGTGTCACTGCATCCATTAGTAATGTTATGTTTTAAGGCAATATTTTTTATTTTATTATAAGAATAGAAGCTAGACGCATTAAATTAAAAACAAAAAAATCTAAGTAATTTTATTTAACCAAAATTACAGCAGCCCGCCGGGGCATGCACCGGTGGCCTAGTCCAACTCTGTCCATGGCTAAATGCCGTTTTACTACCTACATATTATTTTAGAAAACTATTCATTTTCTAGCATTATGTTAGATAAACAAATATTGAAAATTTAGATTTAAAAAAAAAAATTATATAGTAATAGCTATAACCAGCTGTTTTGTACTTATTTTAAATATCAGAGGGAGCACTACCCTCCTTATTTATTCCAGGGGGAAATTTCCCCTTCTTTCCCCCCTTCCCCAGTTTACGCCTATGCTTTTAATTAAAACTATGTTTACAACTGTTGTATAATATGCATTATCAAATTACTCAATTTTTAAAAAAAAGATTGTAGATTTCTTACAAAGAAATAGCTAAAACATATTCAAATTTACATTAAAATTTAATAAGCTTTTAATATTCTGCTATGGATTATAATGTTTATTTTATTTATTTTTTTGTTTTGACAGGTTAATGCTCGTACATCTAGTCTTTTCATGCCAATTATGGCATTAGAAGGCCATGAAGGGGATATATTTGCAACAAAATTTCACCCTGAAGGAGAATACTTGGCATCATCTGGTTTTGACAGAAAAATTTGTATGTTAATATTTTTTTTTTTTATAATATTTCTTTATCTACATTTTTTTTCAATATTTTAATTTTTCATTATTTTATTTATTTAATTTTATTTTCATTATGTTAATTTTCTTATTTCAGTTATATGGAGTGTATATGGTGAATGTGAAAACTTGGGTGTTCTTGCTGGTCACTCAGGAGCAATTTTGGACATGAAATTTTCTACCGATGGATCATTAATATATACGAGTAGTACTGATATGACAGTGTCCTTCTGGGACATATACAAAGGTCAAAGAGTAAAAAAACTTAAAGGTACTACATTGTATAATATTAAATATATTATATATTATATAATTGTATAACCTAGATCTTATACCATAAGCAGAAAAAATTTTTTTTTTTTTTTGGGGAAAGGGTTAGAGTATAAATATGTTTTTGACTAGTAAATTTTAAACTTTCAAATGTTTTAGATAGGTCTTTAATTTTATTTTAAGAAAAAGTTGTTAGGGGTCCAAAATCTAACCCCCTAGTTATGGCCTTGTCAATAACTTAGAGAAATTATTCTAAGTGGGGAATATATTTTATATAACCATTTAAACATATTTAGATAAATTTAGATAATTACCATCTTTTTTTTAATTTTTTTTTATTTTTGAATTGGTATATTTCTTAAGAAATGGAATAATAATACTTACTAGAATTTGTTATCATTTAAACATAATTCCACTTATATAAAAACTATTGTGCTTAAATAATATGTATAATAAAATAATTTTATCATATAACCACTCAGCTGTATATGTAATACTGTGTAAAATACATTGCTTACCATGTATGTAGGCGAGAGTTATTCCTTGATACTATACAAATACATTAAAACTAAAACATTTTAAATTATTGTACCTATAGTTAAATTTCTAGATTTAATTTCTTATCATATAAGATAATATAAGACTATTAGTACAAATATTATTATGCCTACATAATAAATGATGATTTTCCCTTTATTTTTCAGTTTGTATAATTAGTATATACAATTAATCTTGTTATAGGACACACAGGATTTGTTAATTCTTGTGACTCAGCAAGGCGTGGACCTCAAATGATCACTAGTGCTTCAGATGATTGTACTATAAAAATATGGGATCCTAGAAAACGAGGGGGTGATGCAGTAACTACTTTCAATAATAACTTTCAAGTGATGGCTGTATGTTTTAATGATACTGCTGATCAAGTCATAACTGGTGGTCTAGATAATGAAATAAAAGTATTTACTTATATTTTAAATAGTTTATCTATTATATCTATTATTGTGAAATTAAATTTGTCAGATTTGGGATTTACGTAAAAAAGCATTACTTCACCGTTTACCTGGTCATACCGATACAGTAACTGGACTTGAACTATCTCCTGATGGTTGTTACTTACTGTCAAATGCAATGGACAACAGTTTAAGAATATGGGATGTCAGACCTTATGCACCAGCTGACAGATGTTTGAAAGTATTTTCTGGGCACACTCATAATTTTGAAAAGGTTATACAATTTATTAATTCCAATAAAAAGTATATTGTTGCTTTCTCAGTTTTAAGATATTTTTAATTTTTGCTAACAGAATTTATTGCGGTGTGCATGGTCACCAGATGGTTCAAAAGTTTCAGCTGGTTCAGCTGATCGTTTTGTATATATTTGGGATGCTAATACACGTAGAATATTGTATAAGTTACCTGGTCATAATGGTAGTGTTAATGATGTAGATTTTCATCCTAAAGAACCAATAAGTAAGTCAACTATTATGATAATAAGTTGCTTTAGAAAAAAAAAACACAAAAATTTATTGAGCAGACCAAATGTGTATACTATATTTGGCAGTGTTTACTTTGTTAAAAAGTTTCATATTATTGACAAGTTACCCCAATGGTAATAAGTATGTTTGTGTTTTTATTAATTTTATTAAATTTTTATTATTTTCAGTTATGTCTGGATCCAGTGATAAAGTTGTATATCTAGGGGAATTTGAATGAATCCATTGAAATTGTATTGGAACTATTGTAATTTTTAACTTTATTTATACTAAGATTCTTTAGTTTTTCTATAATTTATTTGTTTTGGTAAACTGAACATTTTGTAAAATTTATGTACTTTTCTAGAATTAATTTTACATTGTATGTTGTCATTTATTAAAATAAATATGTATAAATAATTAAAAATATGATTAAAATTATTTTATTTATTAAATATTATATTAATTTTAAAATTATGTTATTGTTTAGTTAAACTTAAGTATAATCTGTGTACATATTTTAATTAAATATTGTTGTTAAAATGTTAGCAATGTATGATTTAAAGACAAATTAGAAAACGTGTATCAATGGCTAACACATTTAACAGTTGTATCTACTTAATTTTAATAAAACTACAATAGAAATTTTATTTAAACTGAAATAAAGTTGACTATAATGCAGTATTGCATTTATGAACTTGTACTAAAAAAAGAGTTATAAATTGATATTATTATATTAAATTTCATTTCCCATATTCAATGGGAAATTTTAATTACATTATATAATTGTATTTATTCTTTAAAACACCAAAATATTATAAAAAAAAAAAAAAAAAAAAAAAAAAAATGAAAAAGGATCTGGAAATCCTGCAGAAATTATGGTTTAGGTGAAAAAAATTTTAATTTTAAAAAGAAACTTGAAAATTTATATTCTTATTTAAGTTATTTAAATGAACCTAGTTCATTTAAATGTTTACATTTTGTATTTATGTTATAATATCGTATAGTATACGCATTTTACTTAATGTTTAAACCTAAACTTAAACATATTATAATTAATAATAATTATATTTATGCATATATTTTTAAAATGGTAAATACATTTGAACGCTCCAAAAATCGTTTAAGTACATTTAAAATATAAATAACGAAAAAATGCACGTTTACTTTGAAAAACGTGATTGACGTTCGCGTATCGTTTTTTAATTTTAAGAATTCTTTATTAATCATTTTTATTAATATACATAAAACATCTGATTTAATTTTGTATTTAACTTGAAAATGTGTAGCTATGGTATTTGAATTATAGATAAAGAAAACTATTTAAAATAATAAATCCTTGATGTTTCGTCTTTAGTTGTTCGCATGAATAACCGAATTTATTACCAGTATTAATCTGAACGATTAAACTTTTTGTCGAACCGTTTATATTTAACGAGATAATAACGTGTCAAATAACAATAGATTTGAAGAGGAAAAGAAAGGCTGATAACATAATTCAGAATTTTTCCAAAAAATGAAAAGTGGCAGTACTTTCCAAGGATTTGGATAACCAAGACGTCAAGCTAAAAAAAAAATGAATTAAACCCTAAAGCTAAAAGCAATATTTTAAATATAGTCTTCTGATAACAATTAAGATTTAAAATACGAGGAATCAGTAAATATAATTAATTTATCATTTTCAGACCGTAGGTGAAGCAAATTAAAAAAAGCCAAGACATAATTTAAATATATTCAAAAATGTAATAATGTATAAAATTATAATAATTTAATATAAATTTTAAATTATACATTTATAATTTATAAACTGTATATAACACAAAGCATATGGAAATATATTATAAAATTTTTACTACAATACATAAGTATAAAATTTCATTAATTTTTTAATAAGTACATTTTACTATTGAATAAATGAAAATAAACAATTTCTTTTAAGGCGGTTGAAAGTGAATCGTTTTTAAGGGTTTGAGTATAAGCAATATGTTATATTCATTTGGAATTGCTGTGTGTGTGTGTAATAACTGATCATTAGTGTGCGTGAGTTCCCCGAACGTGTAATTATTATGTTTTATCAGTTAACAGTCAACAATAATTTGATTACCGTCACAGCGCATATTGTATTGTATCATTGTCCAGTATTTACAACTACTGGAACCACTTCTGTATTTATGCACATCGACGACGAATTAGTTGTTATGACTTATAATTTGTTGCACATCATACACTAAAAAATAAATTAGGATTAAAAATAATTATTTTTTTTCATTTATTAAAGTAAGATCGATGAGCAGCCAAATAGTGGATGGTTGATTTTTTGAATTGAATCAATTAAATTATTTATATTAACAATACGTCTATCCCCACAAATAAACCTAGTGAAAAGAAATTAGAAAAGTATATTATATGATTTGCAGTCTTGTAAAGTATTTGAATACTTGTATTAAAATATTTTTTGAAGAATTTATATGGTATTCTAAATACAATTTTTTATGTGTTTTTAAAGTATTTTGAATACTTTTTAATTGTATTTTTACCAAAATTTAAATACTTGTGTTAAAATACCATAAAGTCTGTTTTATTAATTTTAATTTATTATTTTTCAAAAAAAAATAATATTGTTTTCATTGAAAATTAATATTATGTTTTTGTATAGTAAAAGTAGGTAATAATAATGTTACCACACTAAATCGGTACCACATTACATTTTTTAAGAAAACTGAAAGTTTAATAGCTTTAAAATAATTCTATATTAATAGTAAGTTTATACCACTTTTTATTTTATTTTTTTCATTAAAATTTAATCAATATTAGTTGAAATATACTGTTGTCCATAAGTTTTGCTTACAATGATTATAAAAAAATCGAGCTTAAGTCAATTAAAAAATTATTATGAGCGTCCAAATTTTCAATTTTTACGAGTCTAAATTCACATTCGTATTACACTCTATGACCGAGGCTAGCGAGTTCCCGATTTTTACTTTTGACCACCCAAAGCACCAACTAGATTCACTTTGCTACTAGAAACCACCCTAGGTTTTTAAAATTGAAGCACTTTTACTGCCCCCAAAACATGATGACCGACACACAAAAAAAAACACATATATACTGAATATTATTTTATTAGCAGCTGTGTATTATTATTATTCTACTGCTATAATATTGGTACGTAATTGATGTCTTATTGCCTGTATAATAGTCATGGCTAAGATTCTCAGAAATCTGTATCACGTACCTACGCGCAGTCACACGTCACTATTTAGTATTTAGTATATTTATTATATATTATTTTTTTTTTAGTATTACTGTTTGGTATTTTGCAATTTAAAATGTTTCAACTCGTAGGCGGCTATGAAAGTCCTAAAAAGCGGAAGAAAAATTCACTCAGTACCAAAAGCCCGATTTCAATTTTGAAAACATATTTAAATTCATTATTCTGTTTTCTAGATTATGTAGAAAATGGATTTTCAATTATTTTTCTATTGTTTAATTATTATAGTATCAAATTTATTTTCTTTTTTTTTCAAAATTCACTTTTACTTTATTGTTAGTAAAAAAACATAAAATAAAAAATTAATTTCCTACACAACACAGATAAGGAGTAAAAAAAATCCAAACATTTTTTGAAAATGAAAATTGGACTTCTGGAAGTGTATTTTTTTTCTTTTGCTTATTGGTCTAAATGCACGAAAAAACGACCCACTTTCAACTGCCCCAACTATTATTAAATATTGTACATTATATATAAATAATGTTTGCTTAATGGTATACTACATTACTACAATAAACATTAAACACCTAGGTACCTATTGATAATAATGATTATAATTGAGTCTTCATAGATATTATTAGAATATGAAATATTGACCAAAATATAATATTTTTTGAAAATATCTTTTTTTTTATCTAGATAAAAATGAAATTATCTTTTATCTTTACCGAAATAAATTTTGCATTATCTATTCCCAACACTGCTAGGTAATAATGATTAAAAGTAATAAACGATGATAAACATTATAAATATAAATACAAATGAAGTTCTTATATTTATTATATATTTATATTATCATCTATATTTCTAAATTTGTATTTTACTTGTACCTATGTACGTATTATCATAAGTAAAACATATATATGTGTTCGCGAACTATATTCTTTCTAAACTCTAGGCTTATAACATAAAAATAGTAATAATTATAATCTTATAATAATTTCAATTAAATTTATGCGGATTGCTCTAAATGAATTACGACGTTTTTTACAGGTAACTTTAAACGTATTTAGTTTTCACGAACACTAAATGCTTCACATCCGTTTAATAGGAATTAACTTTATTATGCATTTTTTTTTTTATCGTTATTTATTTGTTTTTAATCCAAAAATTTTCTCAAGTCGATAGGAAACTGATGTTTGATAAAATAACTAATGTGTTCGGTATCACTTAATTGTGTGCGCACACACTCGTGTGATTGGTATCTTGATCGCCGACTAAATTTTATTGTGCATTTGCGTTGTCATAGTAATATATTGTTACAGTTTGCGCACTATTAATCGTTACCACTATAAATCAAAATACGTTTCGAGTTTTCTCGTTAAATCGGTTTTAGAGTAGCTACCTAAAGAATTTACACGACCTCCGGGCTATGTACGGTTTTGTTTACAAACGATTTAAATTTGCATGGATTAAGCCGAGAGCTAGTTTTGGAGTCTAGTCAAGGCTTTGTTTGGCTTGGCTGGCTGAACACGCATTGTAATAGTAATATTATAATGCGAGTAGACAAAACAACGGTTAATTAAAATCATCTACAACACTGGGCAACATTAATGAAATCGCCTGTATCATTATTATCATCAAGTGGTATTGAAAATGTAAGTTATGGGTTTATGAGCGTATATTGTAAATAATACGTTAATTAACGCACTAAAAATTATTATTTACGTAAAAATGTATAATAATTTTTTCCCATTAAAGATATTTTACAATACAGAGTAATTTTCTTTCAGAGTAATTCATTTAGTGAGCCTAATTTTTTATCCTTGAAATACGTTTAACACCAAAAAACTCCGGAAAATAATTTTTCCACTTTAGTACGACTTCGGATCGTCTAGTGAAAACGTGTCGGTGGGGACTATATGCGCACACAATTTACGCGGTAGATTTAAGAACCAATGATAATAATAGTTATTTTTATTCATTCTCTTTCCGCGGCTGTTGTATAAATCCGTTCGCGTTCGCATGAAATACGTGTAAAGTGCGATTCGTGTTTCTCGCGAGGTCGGTAAGACTAATACGGTAATCCGAAGCTCGTGTTCGTGTACTTTATGGTAATTCA